CAAAGTTTAAGAAGAAAACTCCCAGAATGACCACCAACTGGGAGCTCTTTGGCACTATTGCAGAAACATGGGAAGATGCCATTGTTGACAACATTGATGAGGAATACAGTCGACTGGTTCAAATCTCCACGATTGTGCAAGGAACAAAGAGAGAGAGATAGACACAAAAAGACGACTCTCTTCGAAAACTCTCGAGCTCATTCGCCAATGTGGCTTGGCGCAAGCCTCAGGCAACCGCAAGTGAATGTCCGAGCTCCCAAAGCAGTGCAGAGAAGCAATAAAGGAAGACCTCAATGAGAGAAGAGCAGCAGTGCTGGCAGATGTGGCAGAAGCTGGGAAAAAGCATTCACAACACCCGCCTGTCCTTTGCCAACTACAAGACTAAGATGACTGCCCTCCGACATCCTAATGTCCTGATCACATCTTCCAAAAGGGCAATGGAGAAGATTATCCATGACTTCTACTCGGATATCTTTGATAGCCATGAACACCTGCCCACATATCAAATTCCGTAGGATGGATATGTCATTCCCAAAGTTCTGCCTTCTAAAATCCGACACACCATTTTGTAAAGAAACGAACAGCACCCGGCCCAGACAAGGTCAGACCTGAACACCTGAAGAACCTGCCATCAGTACTCATCAATACGCTGGCTCGGCTCTTCACACACTACCTGTCTGAATGCAAGGTTCCATTCCAATGGAAAACCAGCAGGACTGTACTACTGTACAAGAAGGGAGACATCCACGACATTGGCAACTATCGCCCAATCTGCCTGTTGTCTGTCATCTATAAGCTGTTCACTCTAGTCATCCTGAATAGGAGTAGTAGAACACTAGATGAAGAACAACTGTGCGAGCAAGCCGGTTTCCAAAAAGGATTTAGCACAATTGATCATATCCACATGATAACCAAGCTCATTGAGTTTTCTTGGGAGTTCAAGATGCCGCTCTGTCTAACGTTCATTGATTTATAGAAGGCCTTTGATTCTGTTGAGATGGAAGCAGTCATTGAAGCCCTAGCCAATCAGGGCATTCAAACTGAATACATCAGGATCCTCCGTGAACTGTATTATGGATTCACTATCAGGATCTCACCATTCTACAAAGAAGTGATCATTGATGTCAAGAGAGGGGCTTGGCAGGGTGATACTATTTCACCGAAACTCTTCAGTGCCACCCTTGAGAACGTCATGCTATGACTGGAATGGGAATGAATGGAAGTGAAGGTAGATGGTTGGCAACTATATCACCTTCACTTTGCTGATGACATTGTCCTAATAACACCAAACATCAGCCAAGTGGCACAATGCTGGCCGACTTCAAACTTGAGTGTGGAAAGGTCGAATTACAGCTGAATCTCACAAAGACAATGTTCATGAGAAACAGTCTTGTTCCTGACGTTGCATTCGCTCTCAACGGAACGACCATCTCCAAATGCAACAGCTATGTGTACCTAGGTCGAGAAGTCAACATGACAAATGACCTGGCACCCGAGCTGCGCAGGAGGAAGAGAGAGGCTTGGAACGCCTTCAAGAGCATCAAAGAAATAACTAAGAGGATGAAGAACCTCCAGCTCCGAGCACATCTCTTTGATTCCACTGTTCTTCCTGCATTAACATACACCTCAGAAACCTGGGCCCTATGAAAACAGGATGAGAATGCTATTCGGTTCTCTCAAAAAGAAATCGTGAGAGCTATGCTTGGAATATCACGCTTCACTCAAATGAGAGAAAGAATCTGGAGTTCCAACCTCCGTCAACGCTCAAGAATCAGAGACACTGTCTCATTTGCCAAAGCTTCGAAAATCAGATGGGCTGGACACGTAATGAGATTTGAAGATGACCGCTGGACTAGAGCCATACCAACTGGATTCCATGGGATGTCAAAAGATCGTGTGGCCACCCAACTACTACATGGTCAGACTTCTTCGTCAAGACCCTGAATGATCGGTTTGAGGCTCTTTGTGTTACTAGAACGAGCACATGCCTTTGGGCTATGCTAGCACGCAACAGGGATGAATGGAGACGTTACTGGTGCCCGCTGGAGCAAATCGATGAGTAACGGGATATCAAGTGATCAAGTGTTTTTTAATTGTAAATCACAAGGTTACTTTCCCCATTTTATAAGACATTTTATAAGCGCTTATAACTTTTGGAACACTTTGGAGTTTGTATTTTCCCTTATCCCTTCATGTGTTGCCAGTTTAGAACTGTAGCTGTGGGCAGCGGTCACGGTCACCCGAAAAGCTTTCTCTTGCCCCCTCTCAAGGAGGACCCATTTGCGGTTGTATAAGAGAAATGAGCTATTATTTAAAAGTTCAGAGGAGTAAAAAAACCAAGTACTTTCCTATTACAAGTGGTCGGTTCAGGGATTTTGACAACAGTGTTTGGTTAAAATGCACTAACGCTTGTTTCTGGGCTGAATAAACCCCGAGTCCTCGTTCTCAGCCTTAGAGAGATGCCATAGCTCTGCTCCACTTTGATATGCTCAAGGGTACAGCGAGTTGCGCACAGGACACCAGCAGAAGCAGCAGAATCCACTGACTGCATTTCCTCTCCAGCCAAAAGCCACAACCCACACACCTCAAGTGACACGAAAAAAACTTGTGTAATGTAAGCATTTAAAAATTATTATTAACAAACAGATACCAATAGAGTCAAATGGACACCACCTGGGGAGATCCCGAACCTTTGCCACTATGACTGCATCTACTGAGGCACTGGGAGTGGCAACAGGGTTGAGGGCATCCTCGGTCTCTGGAGGAAGGAGAGAGGCTGGTGATGCCAGGGCTCCAAAGTGCCCAGGAAGGACAAATGCTGTCTGGCCAACGTGTAACCTGGAAAAGTCTTCCTCTTCCTGGGGTTAGACCCTCTGCTCCCTCGGTGCTTCACTGGCCAGTGTGTCAGCTGGAAGAACTTTCTCGCTGCATCCTGCTGTGGGCCAGGGTCCACATGGGATGCCGGGCATCGAACCAGGGCAGCTGTGTGCAAGGGAAATGCCCTGCATGCTGTAATACCTTTCTGGCCTCAAGATTTAAAAAAGGAAAAGAAAAAAAAGCCTCAGTTCCAGCATTTTTTGTTTGTGAGTTGAAGGGCCGGGTATGGAACTGAAGGTATAATGACCCCTAGATCTTTCAGGCACTGTGCATGGTAGGTTTGTTTTCTGAACCAAAACTTCTAGGTTAGAAATTGCTAAGGAAAAGGTCAAATCTGGTTCTGTGTTGTATAGTCATAGCACAGCGGGTAGGGCGTCTGCCTTGCACGCAGCCAACATGGCCGACCCGAGTTCGATTCCTCCGCCCCTCTCGGAGAGCCCGGCAAGCTACCGAGAGTATTCGATATGCCAGACACAGTAACAACAAAGTCTCCAATGGAGACGTTACTGGGCCCGCTCGAGCAAATCGACGATCAACGGGAGGGCCTTACTTTACTTACTTTACATCTTGACAAAGGGGAGGTTTGGCCTGGCAAAGCTTGCCCTGGCTGGCGTTAGCGGCCAGCACTCAGGAATCATTCCTGCGGGTGCTCAGGCAAACGTCTACAATGTCAGGGCTCGAACCTGGGCCAGCTGCTATAAAGCAAGTGCCGTACTGCTGTGCTGTCTCTCTGAACCCTGGAATATCATTTTAATCATCAAATTATCCGGAGTTACTTGCAAGTGACCCTCATCTGAAATTCTGATCACCTTCGTGGAAGGTGGTATGTGAGATAACCTGAGCACACAACTCTCTGTGCTGATCATGTACTTGGAAGGCGGTCACCGGCCTGTGGGGTGGCTCCTAACCTCCTTTCCTATTGCTCCCCAGGCTTCTGGAACTAGGTTTCAAAGTGAAATGCTACGACTACCACAGGGCGAAGGTAGTACTGTCTGAGATGTATGATGATAGGTGGACGCCCTCCAGTCTGGGGATGTGAGCCCAGCCTGGCCACTCTGGAAGAAGTTCCTGGACGGTCTGTGTCTGTCGCCAGCTTATCTGGGCCCCGGGCAGTAGGTTTCTCCTCCCCCCATGTCAGGGACTCTGCAATGCCTTCAACCCCCAGCTCCGGCTGTGGCCCAGCACATGCTCGGCTGGCTGGTTCCTCCAGATGGGAATGCTGAGGCGGCTTCATGAACACAGGTCAAGAGGACTCGAACTGACCACATCCTGGTGCTTCCCTCTCCTCGGGGCGCTGTGGAGCCACACTCTCATTCCCATGTCACAGTGGAATCAGTGATTGAACAGAATAGACTCAGCAGTGCACCTGGCCACGGGCTGGCCACGGGCCATCAATGAGCTTTCTAGCTGCCTTTAGCCTGTGCCCGTGGGCTGCTGGGATTCTGACATCACAAAGCTCCCTACAGATCTGCCTCTCCTCCCTTGAATCCGTGCGTAGAGACGGCTGTGCTCTAAGCTGTGGATTCTCTCCTCTGGAAGCTGTGCACTCACAGGAGTTAACAAAATCAAAACAAAAAAGAGTCTTTCCAGAAGGTTTTTAGGAGCAAATGACAAAAAAAGCTTTGATTGACAAAATCACTGGGCTGGAACAGGGTTCCCCATAAAAGTCACCCCACATGAAACTTTTGTGTACTGGTTTATTCCATGTGCAGACAATGCTGTGATAGTTTAATTTTTTATTCAGCGGAGATGAACCACATAAGAGTCACATGGTGAATGTGATCTCTCATTACTGAATTGTCATAGACATTTTTGGGACCTGAGGTATGACCACCATGATCCCTTTAGTTTTGGTCATTATTCTGGGTTTTTTGTTTGTTAGTTTAGGCTGCAGTGCTCAGGGCTTACCCCTGGCTCTGTACTCAGGTTTCACTCCGGAAGATTCTGGGGGGATCCTGGGGGGTGCTGACTGAACTCTTTGGTAGAGCTAAGGAGCACTTGTTTCTCTCTGAACGTTAGTGGCAACCACCAGCCACATGGACGCCGACTGCTTTCTCTGTGTTTTCCTGACCCACAGCGAAGGCAATCACGTTTATGCCTATGACGCTAAATTGTAAATTGCCATGCTGATGGACTTCTCCAAGGGCGACAAGTGTCAGAACCTGGTGGGAAAGCCCAAGATCTTCATCATTCAGGTGAGATCGCTAGTGATCATGAGGGCACTGACAGTTCCCAGAGCATCTTCTCCAGGCTCTGAGAAGCTTTGGATGCTGTCCCTGAGAGTTGCAATTTGAACCCTGGTCATAATCTCACCCTATCCTAGAAAGAACTGGTTAAGAGTCTCCTTGTTTGAAGTCCACGGAAGCCAGGGTACAAGACCAGCTGAGCCTGGGGGCCTCACCGGCCACCTCCATTCCTGGCTCCCTCTCGCTAAATGGAACATTCTACATTGCTCCTCTTCAGGACAACTGGACAGGCCACGCCTTGGGCCCGGGAATGCGTTACCCCTCATTTGAGCTTAGACGGCTGGAACAGGCTACTGATCAACCCCCTGGATAGATAGACAAACAAGGACAGCATTATAACAGGATCATAAAGAAACCAGAAGAAGATTAGGCCTAGGTGTGGTTTTAGAAATCCTGGAATTGAGCGCAGTTACCTGGAATTGAGTCATAATTCCCTTGAAGTGAGTTAGCCACGACAAGGTCAACTAAGGGTTACCAATCAGATGCAGGTAGAGAATAACCCTTAATAACCACTATGTAACGTTATGGAAGTCTTAGGCAACCCTTCTGCAACTCAACTTACAAGCAGTCAGCTAAGTACAAGTAGTGGAAAGGCCCTCAGACTTTGGCCAAAAGAGTGGTCCATGAAAGTCCCTGTTATATGATGCTATGGTCTAAAAGCCCCTCACTTTTTACTTTTATTACTGAAACACAATGCGGTACAGTTGTAGACTTAGAAGTTTCTGTGCTTGCATTTCAGTTATACAATGATCAAGTACCTATCGCACCACCAGTGCCCATTCTCCACCCTCACCAATCCCAGTATCCCTCCCACCCCCCATCTCCCATCCCACCGTGCCTCTGTGGCAGGGCATTCCCTTTTGTTCTCTCTCTCATTTTCAGAGCTGTGGTTTGCAGAAGAGACATTGAGTGGCAATCATGTTCGGTCTATAGTCTACTTTCAGAATGCATCCCTCATCCTGGGCAGATCTTCCCAGCACCCTTTATTTGGTGCTCCCTCTCTATCTGAGCTGCCTTTACCCCTAGAGTGTGAGGCTGGCCTCGAAACCATGGAGTGAACCTCCTGGTATTTATCACAGCTGTTCTAGGGTGTTAGTCTCTTATTTTGTTACTTTATGTTCCCCAGATGAATGCAATCATTCTATGTCTATCCCTCTCTTTCTGACTCATTTCGCTTAACATGATACTTTCCAAGTAGTACCACTTGTATGTAAATTTCATGACTTCCTCTTTTCTAACAGCTACATAGTACTCCATTGTGTAGATGTGCCAAAGTTTCTTTAACCAGTCATCTGTTCTCAGGCACTCAGGTTTTTTCCAGATTCTGGCTATTGTAAGGAGTGCTGCAATGAACAAACAAGTGCAGATGTCACTTCGACTATACTTTTTTGTCTCTCTGGGATATATTCCCAGTAGTGGTATTACTGGGTCAAATGAGACCTCAGTTTCTAATTTTTTGAAAATCGTCCATACTGTTTTCAAAAGGGCTGAACCAGTCGGCATTCCACCAGCATTGAAGGAGGATCCCTTTCTTGCCACATCCTCGCCAGCACGGTTGCTTTTGTTCTTGTGGATGAGGACCAGTCTCTGTGGTGTAAAATGATATCTCATTGTGGTTTTGATCTGCATCTCCCTGATGATTAATGATGTGGAGATTTCTTCATGTGCCTTTTAGCCATTTGGATTTCTTTGAGAAAGTTTCTATTCATTTCAATGCCCTATTTATTTATGGGGTTGTATGTTTTCTTCTTGTGGAGTTCAACCAGTACTTTGTATATCCTTGATATCAACCCCTTGTCGGATGTGTATTCGGCGAATATCCTTTCCCATTTTGTAGACTGTCTTTGTATTTTGGTCACTGTTTCTTTGGAGGTGCAGAAGCTTCTTAGTTTAAGATAGTCCCATTTGTCTATCTGTTTTCACTTGCTTGGCCAGTGGTGTGACATCTTTGAAGAAACCATTAGCTTCAATATCATGGAAGGTTTTGTGAACTTTGTCTTCAATGTACCTTATGGATTCCGGTCTGATGTTGAGGTTTTTAATCCACTTTGACCTTACTTTTGTACATGGCGTTAGGCAGAGATCTGAGACCACTTTTTTGCATGTAGCTGTCCAGTTTTGCCAGCACAATTTGTTAAAGTGGATTTCCTTGCTCCACTTCACTCTTCTTGCTCCCTTATCAAAGATTAGATGATTGTATTCTTGGGGGGAGATGTCACTCAATTCAATCCTGTTCCATTGGTCTACAGGTCTGCCTTTGTTCCAGTACCATGCTGTTTTAATTATTACTGCTTTGTAGTAGAGTTTGAAGTTAGGGAGGTCGATTCCTCCCATTTTCTTTTTCCCAAGAATTGCTTTAGCTATTTATGGGGGCTTATTGTTCCATACAAATTTCAGGAGCGTTTGCTCCATTTCTTTGAAAAATGTCATGAGTATTCTAATAGGGATCATGTTGAATTTGTACAGTGCTTTGGGAAGTATTGCCATTTTCACAATGTGAATTCTCCCGATCCATGAACAGAGAATATTTTTCCATTTCCTCATGTCCTCTTTTACTTCCTGTAGCAGCGTTTTGTAGCTATCTTTGAACAGGTCCTTTACTTCCTTAGTTAAGCTAATTCCTAGATAGTTGATTTTCTGGCATACAATTGTGAACGGGATTGTTTTCTTCATGTCATTTTCTTCTCTCTACTATTTGCGTATAGGAAAGCATGGACTTTCATGTATTGGTTTTATAGCATGCAACTTTACAAGTCTATCGTGTCTTTGAGTTTCTTGGTAGAGGTTTTAGGGTTCTCTAAGTATAGTATCATATCATCTGTGAATAGTGAGAGTTTGATTTCTTCCTTTCCTATTTGGATGCCTTAATATCTTTATCTTGCCTAATTGTTATTGCAAGTACTTCCAGAAATATATTAAGAAGTAGTGGAGAGAGTGGGCGTCCTTGTCTTGTCCCTGATCTTAGGGGGAAAACTCTCAGTTTTTCCCCATTGAGGGTGATGCTTGCTGTAGGCTTGTGATAGATGGCTTTAACCATATTGAGGAAAGTCCCGTCTATCCCCATTTTGTGAGGGTTTTCATCAATAACAGGTGCTGGATTTTGTCAAATGTTTTCTCTGCATCTATTGATATGATCATATGATTTTTATCTTTTTTTCGTTGATATGATGGATTATGTTGATTGATTTCCAAATGTCATACCATCCTTGCATCCCTGGGATGAATCCCACTTGGTCATGGTGTATGATCTTTTTGATGAGTTGTTGAATTCTATTTGCTAGTGTTTTGTTCAGAGTCTTCGCATCCATGTTCATCACGGATATCGGCCTGTAGTTTTCTTTTCTTGTAGTGTCTTTGATGCCTTTTGGTATTAGAGAGATATGGGCGTCATAGAAACTGTTTGGGAATGTTTCTGTTTCTTCAATTTCCTGGAAAAGCTTGAGAAGAACTGGCAAAACAAAAGGTCCTCTTTAAATGTTTGGAAAAATTAGCTAGTGAATCCATCTGGACATGGGCTTTTGTTTTTGGGAAGACTTTTGATTACAGTTTTGATTTCTTTAATGTTACCAGGTCTATTCAGGTACTCTAGATCTTCTTGATTCAGCCCTGGGAGATTATAGGAATTTAGAAACTTATCCATTTCTTGTAGGTTCTCTTGTTTCATGGCATACAGAGTTTCAAAGTAGTCTCTGATGATCTTTTAAATTTCTTTGGTTTCTGTTGTGATATCCCCCTTCTCATTTCTGATTTGGTTTATTAGGGTTCTGTCTCTCTTTCTTTGTGAGTGTTGCTAGTGGTATATCTATCTTATTTATTTTCCAGAAGAACCAGCTCTTGGTTTCATTGACCTTTCAGATCGTGTTTTTGGTTTCCATATTGTTGATTTCTGCTTTATCTTTTATGATCTTTTTTCTTCTGCCTGATTTGGGCTCCTTTCGTTGATCCTTTTCTAAAATCTTGAGCTGTGAAGTCAAGTTGTTTATGTGGGTCCTTTTTTCCTTCCTGAGAAATGCCTGCAGAGCTATATACCTTTCCCCCTTTACATGACTTTAGTTTCATCCCATAGGTTCTGGTAGCTTGTGTCTTCATTCTGTTTGTTTCCAGGTATCTTTTGATTTCGTCCTTGACTTCCTTTCTGATCCACTCGTTGTTCAGCATTGAGTTGTTTTACTTCCAGGTGTTTGATTTTGTTCTCCATGTCTGTGTGTGATTCACTTCTAGTCTCAGTGCATCATGGTCTGAAAAGATTATTGATACTATTTCTATCTTCCTGATTCTAATGAGGTATGTTTTGTGTCCTAGCACATGGTTTATTTTGGAAAATGTTTCGTGGGCACTGGAGAAGAATGTGTATTCTTTCTTTTGGCGGTGTAAAGCCCTGTATAGGTCTATAAGCCCTATCTCTTCTATTACTTCTTTCAAAGTCAATCTTTCCTTGCTGAGTTTTGTTCTTGTTGATCTATCCAGAGGTGATAAGGCGATATTGAAGTCTACAAGTCCTATTGTGTTGCTAGCAATGTCCTCCTTAATGTCCGTTAGCAGTTGTTTTAATATTTAGCTATTCCCTCGTTAGGTTCATATACATTTAAGAGTGTTATTTCTTCCTGTTGCATGTATTCCTTGATGATAGAAAATAGCCTTTTCTGTCCCTTCTAATCTTTTTTAACCTGAAATTCACTTTGTTGGATACTAGTATGGCCATCCCAGCTTTTTTGAGGGTGCTGTTTGCTTGCAGGATTGTTTTCCATCCTTTAATTTTGAGTCTGTGTTTGCTCTGACTGTTGAGATGAGTTTCTTGTAGGCAGCAGAATGTTGGGTTCTGTCTCTGAATCCATAATGCCACTTTGTGTCTCTTAATTTGTGCATTTATACTGTTGATGTTAAGAGAGATTATTGTTATAGGGTTTTGTGTCATCTTTCTGTAAGGGTCTGTTGTGCTTTTAGGGTTTGTCTTATTTTATAGTAGCCTCTTTAGCCCTTCCTTTAGGTTTGGTTTTGAGCCTATGAAGTTCCTGAGCTGCTGTTTATTTAGAAAATAGTGTACCGTTCCTTCGATTTTGAGTGACAGTTTAGCCGGATAGAGTATTCTTGGTCAAGCATTCATTTTAATGAGTTTTTTCACTATATCTACCATGGCCTTCGGGCTTGGAGGGTTTCCTCTGATAGGTCTTCATGAATCTAAGGGGTGCTCCTTTGCATGTGATTTCCTCCTTGACCTTTTTGCTTGCAGTCTTGTGTCTCCAATCCGCGGCATCACTCAATCTAACTATGATATGTCTTGGAGTGTTTTTGTCAGGGTCTCTTTTAGCTAGGTGCCCATGTTTTTAATGTAGTACTGATGCCCTATTTATTGTAAGGGATGTACTGTTTACTTATGTAGATGAGGTTGTTAATATAGAAGATGCTACGTGTAGCACTGTATTAGTAATACAATACTGAAAAATAAAATTTCCCATTACAATTTATATAAATACTGTGCTTTACAAAGTTTCAAACGTTCAGAATGATTTGTTATGGGCATTCAGTGTTCCAATACCAATCCCACCACCCCATGAGTCGGCTCCCTTGGCAGAGCCTCATTTATTCATTATATAATGCTTGGCTGACTTAATACTTGAGTATGTGAGCCCCGGGGTAAGCTTGGGTTTCCAGTTCTTTTCCTCACTCTCCTAGTTCTCATCCTGTAGATCCTTCGCCATCAGGTTACCTCACTTTTGCTTTCATTGCTGATTCATTTTCCCTGATTAGCCTTGCTAAATGTTTTCTGAGTATATATTCTCAGAATATATGGAGCTGGAGAAATTCTATAAAGAAGATCACACCTTCTACAAGATCATTGTCGGTGATTTTAATGCCAAGATAGGACCAAGAAGATCAGTCGATGAACTCCACATCGGAACCCATGGCCTGGAATGGAACGAACAAGGTGACAGACTGTCTGAGTTCATCATGTCAACCAAAACCTTCCATGGTAACTCACAATTCCAAAAGGCTGAATCTAAACGTTGGACATGGGAGTCTCCCGATGGACGGTTCCACAATGAAATAGACCACATCATATTCAATCGGCGGTTTTGCCTAACCGATGTTGCTGTTGTCCCAAAATTCCAAACGGGATCAGACCACCGTCTTCTTCGTGCAAAATTCTACCTCACAGAACGAGGAGAAAAGAATGCAAGGTTTAAGAAGAAGACTCCCAGAACAACCACCAACTGGGAACTCTTTGGCTCTGTTGCAGCAACATGGGAAGATGCCGTCATTGACAACATTGATGAGGAATATGATCGAATGATTCAGCACCTCCATGATTGTGCAAGGAATGCCAAGAGAGAGATAACCACAAAAAACCGTCTTTCTTCGAACACTCTTGAACTTATTCGCCAACGTGGCGTGGCACGTGCCTCAGGCAACCACAAGCAAACGTCCGAACTGGCAAAACAGTGCAGAAAAGCCATCAAGGATGACCTCAAAAACAGGAGAGCAGCAGTACTGGTAGATGCAGCAGAAGCTGGGAAAAACATTCGTAATGCCCGCCTGTACTTCACCAACTACAAAACCAAGATGACTGCCCTCCGACATCATGATGGATCTATCACATCTTCCAGAAGGGCAATGGAGAAGATTATTCATGAATTCTACTCAGATCTCTTTAATAGCCACATCCACTTGCCCACATACCACATACCACATGATGGATATGTCGTTCCCAATGTTCTCCCTTCCGAAATCCAACATGCCATCTCGTCGGTAAAGAAACAAAAAGCACCTGGCCCAGACAAGATCAGACCTGAACACCTGAAGAACTTACCATCAGTACTCATCAATACATTAGCTCGACTCTTCACACGCTACCTGTCTGAATGCAAGGTTCCATCCCAATGGAAAACCAGCAAGACTGTACTACTATACAAGAAAGGAGACATCCACGACATTGGCAACTATCGCCCAATCTGCCTATTGTCTGTCATCTACAAACTATTCACTCGAGTCATCCTGAATAGGATTAGCAGAACACTAGATGAAGGACAACCATGTGAACAAGCTGGATTCCGAAAAGGATTCAGTACCATCGACCATATCCACACAATAACCAAGCTCATTGAGGTATCTCGGGAGTTCAAGATGCCGCTCTGTCTAACGTTCATTGATTTAAAGAAGGCCTTTGATTCTGTTGAGACGGAAGCGGTCATGGAAGCCCTAGCCAATCAGGGCGTACAAACTCAATACATCAGGATCCTTCGTGAGCTCTATTGCGGATTCACTACCAAGATCTCACCATTCTACAAAGAAGTAATCATCCATATCAAGAGAGGGGTTCGGCAGGGTGATACCATTTCACCAAAACTCTTCAGTGCCACCCTTGAGAACATCATGCGACGACTAGAATGGGAAAACATGGGAGTGAAGATAGATGGTCGGCAACTACACCACCTCCGCTTTGCTGATGACATCGTTCTAATAACACCAAACATCAGCCAAGCGGCACAAATGCTTGCGGACTTTGACCGTGAGTGTGGAAAGGTTGGACTACAGCTGAATCTTACGAAGACAATGTTTATGAGAAACAGCCTTGTTCCTGACGCTCCATTCGCTCTCAACGGAACCACCATCTCCGAATGCAACAGTTATATATACTTAGGTCGAGAAATCAACATGATGAATGACCTGGCACCTGAGTTACGCAGGAGGAAGAGAGCGGCTTGGAATGCCTTCAAGAGCATTGAAGAAATAACTAAAAGGACAAAGAACCTCCAACTACGAGCACATCTCTTTGATTCCACTATTCTTCCTGCATTAACATATGCCTCAGAGACCTGGACCCTACGAAAACAGGATGAGAACACTATTCGGGTCTCTCAAAGAGGAATCGAAAGAACTATGCTTGGAATATCACGATTCACTCAAATGAGAGATAGAATCCGGAGTTCTGATCTTCGTCAACGCTCAAGAATCAGAGACGCTGTCTCATTTGCCAAGACATCAAAAATCAGATGGGCTGGACATGTAATGAGGTTTACAGACAACCGCTGGACTAGAGCCATTACTGATTGGATTCCACGAGACATCAAAAGATCACGTGGACGCCCACCTATAAGATGGTCAGACTTCTTCGTCAAGACCCTAAATGATCGGTTTGAGGCTCTACATGTTCCTAAAACGAACAGATACCATTGGGCTACGCTAGCACGCAACCGGGATGAATGGAGACGTTACTGGCACCCGCTCGAATAAATCGATGAATAACGGGGATTAAGTGAAGTGATTAAGTGATATTCTCAGAGATTTAGCTCTTACTGTCACTGTTGCCTCTGCATGTTTCTGCACACTTCTTCTTCATCTGTTCTTCTCTAGTTCCCTTTAGGGTGTTTATTCTTGAGTTAGTCCATTTACATCTAAAGCAATCATATGATCCGTAATATTGAGTGCCAGTTTTGCTTTACAATTGCCATGAGGTTCATAAAACAATTTTGAACTCATTTGAAAAGCACAGTTTTACTCCTCACATTTTCTTCTTTGGCCTTGGCTGCTGTAGTTTTACTATTGACCTTCACGCCCAGCTCTACAAATGGCTAACGTATAGTTGAAGTTACTCATTACAAGCGACACTAACTGTTTTCCCACTAGAACTTATGACTATTTTTTTCCTGTAAGCTGAATGCCCGGAATGCCTCTGGTCTGCCTAGAAACCAATCTCCAGTAAGGTTATCAGAATTAAAATGTGAGGATACCTGATTGGGAGCATCTTAATTTCCCGCAGGCCAGCGTGGAGGTTTCTGATACGTGTATAGGACATGCTGCTGTCATGGTCCTCCTGGTTCTGAGGTTCCTACCCCTTTATCTTCCTTTGGGACCCCTGGGATGCGAATGCTTCTGTGCCTGGACTCAGTGGATTAAGCCAGACCTCGCCCCATGTTTTGGTTGTCTCCACAGAACTGATTGGTTCTTGGATGTTGTCTCTGTAAGCGTTAGTACGCTGTGGCCAGCAGTGTGGGGGGCTGTTGGTTTTCAAGTCTCCGAGGGCTGTTTCAAACGTATGGCACAGCAGCTTAAGTCATGGTGAGAGCAGTTTTTGGCTACGATTGACGAACATTTTTAATACTTGATTTTTTATAGTAAATCACAAGGTGGTTATCTCTCCATTTTATAAAATGTTTTATAAATGCTTATGAGATTTGGGAACAGTTTTGAGTTTGTATTTTTTTTACACCCAGAGATGCACAGGGATTACTCCTGGCTCTGCACTAAGGAATTCCCTTTGTCGGTGTTCAGGGGACCATATGGGATGCTGGGAATCGAACCTGATTTGGCCACATGCAAGGCAAATGCCCTACCTGCTGTGCTATTGCTCCAGCCCCTTGTAGTTTCTTTCATCCCTTCATGCCTTGCCAGTTTAGAACTGTAGCTGGGGGCAGTGGTATCGGTTGGCCAAGGATCTTTCTCCTGCCACCTTGCAATGAGGACCCCATTCCGTTTTGGTAATATAAAACGAGCTATCATTTAAAAGTTCAGAGGAGTTCAAAAACCAAGTACTTTCATCCTACAATGTGGTCGGTTCAGAGCTTTTGACATCAGTGTTTGGTTAAAATACACCAATGCTTGTTTTTGGGCACCCAAGTCCTCATTCTCAGCCTTAGGAGCGGCCGTAGCTCTGCTCCACTTTGACATGCTCAAGGGTACAGCTATTCGTGTTCTGGAGGACACCAGCAGAAGCAGCAGTATCCACTGACCGCCTTGTCTTTCCTCTCTTGCCAATAGCCACAACAAACACACCCCAAGTGAAACCAAGAAAACCTATGTTATGTAAGCATTTAAAAATTATTATTAACAGAGACCAATGGAAGAGTCAAGTGTACACCACCAGGGGAGATCCCAAGCCGTTTGCCACTGCTTCCATAGGCGCTGGAAGTGGCACAGGTGGGTGAGACCCTCCTCGGTCTCTGGAGGAAGAAGAAAGTCAAGTGACACTGGGGCTCTGAAGGGCTCAGGAAGAGCAAATGTTGCCTGGCCAATCCGTAACCTGGAGGAGTCTTCCTGGGGTTAGAACCCCTGCTGCCTCGGTGCCTCACTGGCCAGTGTGTTAGCTGAAAGAAATTTTGCTCTGCATCCTGCTGGGTACCAGGGGGCCACATGGGTTGCCGGGCATCGAACCACGGCAGCTGTGTGCAAGAAAAATGCCCTCCATGCTGTAATATCGTTTCTAGTCACAAGATTTCAAAAAAGAAAAAGAAAAAAGTCTCAGTTCCAGCATTTTTTGTTTGAGAGTTGAAGGACTGGGGTAGGTAATTGAAGGTATAACGACCCCTAGATCTTTCAGGCACTGTGCATGGAAGGCTTGTTTTCTGAACCAAAACTTCTGGGTTAGAAATCGCTAAGGAAAACATCAAGTCTGGTTCTTCATTGTGTAGTCATCACCTGGACAAAAGGGCTGTTTGGCCTGGCAGAGCCTGCGCAGGCTGGGGCTAGTGGCTAGTACTCAGGAATCATTCCTGCGGGTGCTCAGGCAACCATTTACGATGCCGCGGCTTCCAACCTGGGTCATCCGGTGTAAAGCTAGTGCCCTACTACTGTGCGGTCTCTCTCTATCCTGCAATATCATTATAACCATCAAATTATCCGGAGTTACTTGCAAGTGACCATCATCTGCAATTCTGATCACCAACGTGGAAGGCAGTATGTGAGATAATCTGAGTACACAACTCTCTGTGTCGATCACCTACTTGGAAGGCGATATTTGAAATAACCTGAGCACACAACTCTCTGTGCCATCAACAATGCAGAAGACTGTATTTGAGATAACCTGAGCACACAAGTCTCCATCAGGAACAGTTGCTCCTTCCTGGAGACAGAAATCAGGGGTCGGGCAACAGCTCAGGGACTGGGGCACATTCGTGCAGGTGGGAGCCTGGGTAACACTAAGCCCCTTTGGTCTTGCCCCAAATAGCAAAGCTCTGACACGGGAATGTCTCTGATATCTGGGGTGCATGTTTCTGGAGGGTCTCAGAACTCAGCTGAGTTTGGTGAACAGCACGTTGGCCCTCCTGCCCCACCCTCTCCCCGGTCACTCCCAGCACTGGACCTGAAGCCTGGGGTGTGCCCGTAATGGGGTGTGGTGCAAGACTTTTCACGGCAGCAGACCCCGGTGTGTGAAGTATAAAAACAGGCAGTGCTGTGTGGAGAGGAAGCTGTCCCGGGAGCGTGCGGGTACGGAGCACAGGGCCAGAGGAAGGGACATCGCCAAGAGCAATGGGTGAGGAAGGAGGCTGGAGTGGGTCAGAGACTCTGAGAGCTCAGCCCTGGGCCACCGTGGAGAAGAAATGCCCAGGACAGCGGGGAAGACAGAGACCGTGGGGAAAGATCTAAGGAAACAGTGCCATGTGTTGTATGTGGAGGGAAGTGTGCTGCCTGGGCTGGGTGGGGTGTGCGGGGCAGGGAGTGTTCCAGAACCTTTGGGCAGCTGTAGGTTGCTGGGTTTGGATGAGCTGCTGTGAGGACAGGAGGAGCCCCAGTCAGCATGTTGTGTGGAATGTCCAGGGCACGGTGTTTGCTGTGTGTTCAGGAAGCCCAGCTATAAGTATGGAGATGCTCTATCCCGGGCCCATTGTGAGTGGCAGGAACAGTCACCCCAGGGACAGGTGTGGGGACAAGTAGGTGTACGGCAGAGAATTCACTGATTCCGTGAATGTGGGGTTTGAGGTACAGGGTAGGGCTGTGCATTGTGGGTCAGCAGGGCAGTGAGGGCCCATGTGAGGGCAGGAACGGCCCTGGCCCTTGGGCACCTTTACCCAGAGGTGTTACTCTCTCTCCCTCCAGTGTTGGTTCATTTCCCTCACTTCCCAGCTGTGAAGCTGATGAATGTCATTTCACCAGAACAGGCAGCTTAGCGGGGGCTTTCAGAGACTGCTCTGTCCCAGGAAGGGAGTTTCACTTGCACATTGACCAGACCAGAGGAGAGGCTACAAATGCAAGGCCCCTTTATTCCTTGCTCGAGCTAGGGCACGAGTCTCATCGAAAGCAGTGGAGTCTAGACAAGGACCCCAACTCTGAATTCCAAGCAGCATATATGGGGTTTTGGTTACATAACAGCCTTTTTTTTTCTAAGAACTGGCAATATGTTTCCAATTCTGGTCCCTGTCCCATGAGTCACTTCAGGGCCCAGAATTATGTTTCCAATTCTTGGTCTCCGTCTGGTCTCATGACTCTTCTCCCTAGGCCCTCTTGACTTGACTGGGCATCACTGCCCATGTTCCCTATCGGATAGGCTGTTCCCACGTGTGGCATATCTGCCCAGGGTAATATTGTTTCCTGAGAATTTGGAACTTTCTGGTGGGGGAAACCGAAACTTAGGCCTCCTGAGTTTCAGTCATAGAGTGGATCCTGCCAGGGCTCTAATTCATCCTCACAAGACATATCACTGAATAACCCAAATCTAGGCCCTGGAAGGGCTCCCTCTGCCTTGAAGCGTTTCCTGCCTTGGGGTCTCGTCACTCATCATGGTTCACATGGGGGCTCATCACGGCTCCCCTTCGGACACCTTCAACATTTCTCCTTTTGTCGCTTATAGTTCTGGCTGAGGCAGAGTCAGGAGGGGACATGTGGAGTGGCTGGGATCTCTTTCATCCTGCTCCTTTATCCTGCTTTGGTGGCCCTTCCCCTAACCCCAGCCAGTCGCTGGGGTTCTCTACTACCCCCAAAAGAAGGACCTTAAGGGTGGCATTTGGAGCCCTGTGGAACCCCCACTCCCCCCCCCCCGTTTTTTAAAGTTCTAAGCAAAAGTCAAATGACCACCACGATCGACTCTTCACAAATACGTGAGGAACAGCACATCCTGGAAACAGTCGCCTTCCACGGGAGGTGAGACACGTTCTTTCCCAATTCTTTGCTCTGGGCAGCCAGGCTGCATGTCAGCTGTGAATGTTGGGGCCAGCATGGGGCAGCATGGCTGCCCTGTAGTCTCTGCACTGCCCCCACTTGGAAAGGACTTAATTTCAGATCCAAGTGACAGGCGGTGTTTTGGAGATGTGGGAGAGACAGGCGTACGGGGAGTGGAAAGGGTAGGGAGTGGGGGTAAGGACTTCAGCACTGGATCTGCCGGCCTGAGCTGTGGCTGGACCAGAGGCTCCTGAACTAACTTGGTCCCTACCACACTTTGTGGCCTGGGGACCCCCTCACCCCCGCCTGGATCTCTGCCTCCCTTAGTGAATGCATTGGGACGTCCTGGCAAGCCTGTCCCTGCTCCCAGAAGCTCTTTAAGAACCAAGTGACCGTTTTCTTTAAGCATCCACAGCATAGAGAGAGAACAAGAAGAAAATTACAAAATGAACCACAAGAGGCGAGGAATCGCTTTGATCTTCAACCACGAGCATTTCTACGATCACCTGCGTTTGACCCAGCGCTCAGGCACCTGCGTAGACCGGGAGAATCTCCGTCGCAGGTACCATGTCTGGGTTCCTGTTGGGCACAGCCTCCAATAGAGCAGCCGGGAGGCTGGGAGCTCAGACACCATTTGGGGTAATGCTCCTCAACTGGGCTGGCTCCGGTGTCCCACGGGTCTTCCAGCATCCCTGAGTACTCACCCAGGTATCCTCACACTGACCCCTGTGTCCTCCTGGTCAAGACTCAGTGGCAGGACCCCAGACCCCCTGTTGAGCGGGAGGTGCCTTACCACATTTGCACAATGATCCTGTTTGATATTAAGCACTGAATGTTTGGGGGGGGGGTTCTTTTTTGGGGGGGGTGGGACACACCTGGTGGGACTCCTGGTTCTTACACAGGGGTCACCCCTGGTGGTGTGCGGGGGACTCTGTGGGGTGTCTGGGACTGAACTCGGATAGGTCTTGTGCAAGGCGGGCACCTGAACCACTCGACTGTCACACAGGCCCCGAGGAGCACATGGGTTTTGCACCAGCTGGAATTTCCCCCTACCAACTGGCTAGATGTGCCCCTAAGAAAACAGAAACAAAAGCAGACGAGTGCTCTGGGGAGGAATCTGGCCTGTTCCAGCACGTCCTGGTCTAACGCATTGTCAGAAATGTGTCTGTACTTTGAGGGCGGCACTTAAGCCAGGAGAAATCCCCAGAAGATGGGTTGGGGATGAGCAGGAAAAACCCTCAGCGTCCTATTGGGTGTCTGTTTCTCCCGAGGGAAGAGTCAGTTTGTTTGGTCTGGCTTTGGGGGCCACCCAGCTGTGCCCCCAGGTCTTCCTGCTGGGCTCGGGGGACCCTCTGGGCAGCCAGGGTGGTGAGCGTGCACCCGCTGTGCTATGGTTCTGACCTGGAGGGTCAGTTTGTGTGTCCTCTAAGTAGGCGTCCATCCCTGGGATCTGCTGGGCTGCAGGGTGACTCGGGGTAGACCCTAACCTCCCTTCCTCTTGCTCCCCAGGCTTCAGAAACTAGGTTTCGAGGTGGAAAGCTATGACAACCTCAGAGCGAAAGATATACTGCTCAAAATGTATAATGGTAAGTGGATGCCCCCAGTCAGGAGGCTTGAGCCCGACCTGGTCACTTGGAAAGATGGGCTCAGACGGTCCGTGTCTGTCGCCAGCTTACCCGGGCCCCAGACAGCAGGCTTCTTCTCCATGTCAGGGACCCTTGTAAAGCCTCCGGGCCCTAGCGCTGACCAAGGTCCAGCACACGCCTGGCTGGCTGGCCGCTGCAGACGGTAATGCTGAGGTGGCTTCACGATCATAGGTCAGGAGGACTCTAACTGACCACATCCCAGTGCCTCCCTGACCGAGGGGCACTGTGGAGCCACACTTTCATTCCTGTTTCACAGTGGAGTCACTGATTGAATAGAGCAGACTAAGAAGTGCAGTGGGCCACAGACTGGCCATGGGCTGGCCATGAGCTTTCCAGCTTCCTGCAGGCTCTTGGAATTCTGACATAATGAAACTCCCTTCAGGTTTGCCTCTCCTCCCTTGAATGCTTTTATCTGTCCATGGAATGGCTGGGTTCTAAGCAGTGGATTCTGCTCTGGAAGCTGAGCACTCACAACGAGTTTACAAAATCAAAACAAAAAAGAGTCTTTCCAGAATGTTCTAAGCAGCAAATGACAAAAAAGGTTTTGATTGCCAAAATCACTGGGCGCTTGAACAGGGCTCCCCCTAAAAGTCTCCCCGCAAGAAACCTTTGTGTACTGGTTTTTTACATGTTCAGACATGGCTGATATAGTTTAATTTTTAGTTCAGTGGAGATTAACCACATAAGAGTCACAAGAATGAATGTGATCTCTCATTATTGTATTGTTAGTAACATTTTTGAGACCTTGGATATGACCACCATGATCCTTTAGTTTTGGTCATTATTCTGGGTTTTTTGCTTGTTAATTTGTTTAGGCCTCAGTGCTCAGGGCTTACTCCTGGCTGTGTGCTCAGGATTCACTCCTGGAGGTTCTGGGGGGACCCTGGAGTGTGGATTTTTAGGTAGAGCTAATGAGCGCTTGCTTTTCTCTGAATTTTAGCATCAACTGCCAGCCACACGGATGCCGACTGCTTTCTCTGTGTTTTCCTGAGCCATGGTGAAGGCAATCATGTTTATGCCTTCGACGCTAAGGTGGAAATTTCCACGCTGACAGACTTCTTCAAAGGCAACAAGTGTCCGAGCCTGGTGGGCAAGCCCAAGATCTTCATCATTCAGGTGAGACCTCGAGCGATTGTGAGGGCACTGACAGTTCCCAGAACGACTTCTCCAGGCACTGAGAGGCTTTGGCGTGCTGTCACTGAGAGTTGCAATTTGAACCCTGGTCATAATCCCACCCTATCCTAGAAAGAACCGGTAAAGAGTCTCCGAGTTTGATGCCCAACTAAGCCAGGGTGTGACACCAGTTGAGCCTGGGGTCCTCGCTGGTCACCTCCATTCCTGGCTCCCCATCACTAAATGGAACATTCTGGAATGTTCCTCTTTAGGACAACTAGGCAGGCCACATGTTGGGCCAGGGAATGTGTTACCCCTCGTTTCAGCTGAGAGGGCTGGGGAAGGCCCGTGAGCACGCCCCCTGGACAGACAGAGAAGCAAAGGCAGCACCATGACAGGCTCATAAAGAAGCCAGGAGAGGCTAGGCCAGGGTTGCAGTACCAGAAATCCTGGAATTGACTGCAGATACCTGGAATTGAGTCATAATTACCCCAAAGTGAGATAGCCATGGTGAGGTGAACTAACAGTTACCTATCAGATGCAGGTAGGAAATAACCCTTAGTAACCACTAGATAACCTTATGGAAGTCTTAGGCAACCCATCTGCAACTCCAACTTACAACCAGTCAGCTAAGTACAAGTAGTGGAAAGGCCCTCAGACTTCAGCCGAGGGTGGTCCATGGAAAGTCCCTGTTACATGATGCTACGGTCTTAAAGCCCCCCACTTTTGAGACATGGGGACGCTCCTTCCAAGAAGGCTGCCCCTGCCTGGGTGAGCCGGACGAGAGCCCTTTGTCGAGCTAGCCAATAAAGACCCTTTGCTTATTGCATTGCAACAAGTCTTCCTGTGGTTCCTCCGGGGAGAGTTCAGCCCAGTTTAACATCCTAAATAATTCAAAAGAAATTCTGAAGCCCCGGCACCTTTCTGTCAGTGGCATTTGCTGAATTTTGAGAGTGCCCACACCATTTTCCTCTCGGCCTGTCGGGGCCACATGTCAGTTCTCATGCTGTCCTCGAACCAGAGGACTCTGTGCTTCCCCAGCTGGCCCTGGGGCCCTCTGAACCACGCCAGCATCAGTGGGCCCCCATCAATCCCGCTCCTGCCTATGTTGTAGGCATGTCGTGGGGACAAGTACGATGAGCCTGTCCAGCCCATGGAAGAGGTGGACTCTATGCGCCTGCTTGAAATCAAAAACACCCAGGTGGACGCAGCATCTGTGTACACGCTGCCCGCTGGCGCCGACTTCCTCATGTGCTATTCAGTGGCCGAAGGTGTGTGGGGTCCAGGCGCCTGAGGTTTCGGGTGGGAACCCCGTGTGGCACCAAACCGAGGCTCCCTCCTTGTGACTGGTCACTACCACTGGTGGCCATTGGTACCCGTGTTTTGGTGCAGTACTCATGCTCTGGGCTGGAGCTATAGCACAGCGGGTAGGGCATTTGCCTTGCAAGCAGCCAACATGGCTGACCCGAGTTCGATTCCTCCACCCCTCTCGGAGAGCCCGGCACACTACCGAGAGTATCGAGCCTGCATGGCAAAGCCTGGCAAGCTCCACATGATGTATTCGATATGCCAAACACAGTAACAATTGTCACAATGGAGACGTTACTGGGCCTGCTCGAACAAATCGATGAACAACGGGAGGACAGTGACAGTGACTCATGCCCTATTTATTTTGTAAGTGATGTACTGTTTACTGATGTAGGTAAGGTTGGTAATACAGAATATCCTGTGTGGAGCACTGAATTACTAATATAGTAATTAAAAATAAAATTTCCCCTTACAACTTATATAAACACTATGCTTACAGAGTTCATAATGTGCATAATGATTTTTTATGGTGTTCTACCTGAATCTCACCACCCTTGTCTCCAGTTTCCCAAAATGCCCCCTGAGTCTGACCCCATGGCAGTCCCTGAGTCATTCATTTTATATTGCTTGGCTGACTTAATACTTGAGTATGTGAGCCCAGGAACGGCTTTGGGGTTCTGGTTTGTTTCCTCAGCCTGTACATCTCAGCCTGTACATCTTTTAACATCTGGGTTACCTCACTTTCGCTTTCATTGCTGATTTGTGCCTTTTTTTCTGATTAGCCTTGCTAAATGTTTTCCGAGTTTATATTCTCAGAGATTTAGCTCTTACTGTCAACCTTCATCTCTGCGAGTTGCTGCATGTTTCTTCTTTCATCTGCTCTTCTCTAGTTCCCTATAGGGTGTTAATTCTTGAGTTAGCCCATTTACATCTAAAGCGATCAACTGATAGGTAATATTGAATTCCATTTTTGCTTTACGATTACCATGAGGTTCATAAAAACAATTTTGAACTCATTTGCAAAGCACAGTTTTACTCACCACATTTTCCTCTTCGGCCTTGGCTGCTGTAGTTTTACTGTCGACCTTCACGCCCAGTTCTACAAATGGCAAACGTATTGTTGAAGTTAATCATTACCAGTGACACTTTCTGTTTTCCTACTTTAACTGAAGATTATTATTTTCAGTAAAGCTGAATGCCTCTGACCTGCCTAGAAAACACTCTCTAGGAAGGTTATCAGAATGGGAATGTGAGGATTCCTAATTGGAAGTGTCTAAATTTCTCACAGGCCAGCGTGGAGGGTTGGAATCCGGTTGGAATCCGTTTATGTATGGGTTGCTGTCGGGGATCTCCGGGTTCTGAGGTTCCTACCGTTTTCTCTCCCTTTGGGACGCCTCGGGATGTGAATGCTTCTGTTCCTAGGCTTCGGTGGATTAAGCCAGACCCTGCCCCATGTTTTATTGTCTCTAAAAACCTATTGATTCTTGGGTAGTGTCTCTGTAAGAGTTAGCACGCTATGGCCAGCAGTGGGGTGGGGGGGGGGGGGGCTGTTGGCTTTCAAGTCTCCGGGGACTGTGTCAGAGAAGGCACTGCTAAGATGGTGCCCGTACCAGATTCCTTAACAGCAGCTCACGGCTGGGCCCTGGCTGATGTGCCTGAGCTTAGACTCTCTGCAGTTTCCTGGGCCACCCCTCTGAGGCAGGGACCCCTTCCTGGTTCACTGTTCCAGATGCAGCCGGTGCCACAGTCTTTAATGAATCCCCTTCTCCCCCTTGAGAGCAGTCCGGGTACATGTCTGACTGTCTTTGGGGAACCCCGCAATCTTTATTTCCCTGACGATGACCCTGTGCTTTGCCTCTTCAGGGTATTTCTCACACCGGGATACCAAGCACGGCTCGTGGTACATCCAGGATCTGTGTGAGGTGCTGGCAAAGTATGGCACGGACCGGGAGATCACGGAGCTGCTCACTATGGTCAACTATAAGGTGTCCCAGCGCAGTGTACAGGGCAGCATTGACGAGAATGCCATCGGCATGAAGCAGATCCCCTGCTTCGCCTCAATGCTCACCAAGAAACTGCGCTTCCCTTGCAAGCCCCAGTGAGGGCCATGGCTTCGTTTTTACATGTCTATCTGCAGAATGATTTCTCATATCTTACATATCATGAGGGCCAAATATATAATACAGTACCTTAAATCACGGTGAGAGGGGTTTTTTTTTTGGGGGGGAAGCTAAGATTGACGAACATTTGCAATACTTGATTTTTACAGTAAATCACAAAGTTACTCTCCCTATTTTATAAAATTTTTAATAAACGCTTATGAGTTTTGGAAACAGTTTGGAGTTGTATGTTCCCTTACTCCTTCATGCATTGGCAGTTTAGAACTGTAGCTGGGGGCAGCAGTCATGGTCGGCCGAGGATATTTCTTCTGCCCCTTCACAAGGAGGACCCCGTTTCAGTTGGGTAAGAGAAATGAGCTATTATTTAAAAGTTCAGAGAAGTAAAACAAACCAAGCACTTTCATCCTACAGTGTGGTCAGTTGAAGGATTTTGACAATAGTGTTTGTTAAAATGCACAAACGCTTGTTTCCAAGCAGCATAACCCCCAAGTCCTCATTTTTGGCTTTAGGCGCAGCCATAGCTCTGTTCCACTTTTACACGCTAGAGGCCACAACGAGTCAGGCTCAGGAGTACACCAGCAAAAGCAGCAGATTCTACTGACCGCTTCGCAGTTCCTCTCCAGCCAAAAGCCACATCCCACACTCCTCAAGTGAAACCAAGAGAACCTGTGTTATGTAAGCATTTAGAAATTATTATTATTAACAAACAGAGACCTACGAAAGAGTCTAGAGGACACTTCCAGGGGAGATTCCGAGACATTTTCCACTCATGGCTGCTGCTTCCATAGGCACGAGAAGTGGCAGAGGTGGCTGAGGGCATCCTCGGTCTAGAGAGGAAGGAGAGAAGCTGGTGACATCGGGACCCTGAAGGGCTCAGGATGTGCAAAAGCTGCTTGGCCAACACATAACCTGGTGAAGTCTTCCTGGGGCTAGACCCACAGTTCCCTCGGTGCCTTACTGGCCAGTGTGTCAGCTGGAAGAACTTTCCCTCTACATCGTGCTGGGGGCCAGAGGGACACAGGAGGTGGTGGGCATCGAACCAGGGCGGTTGTGTGAAAGGAAATCACCATGCAAGCAGTATTATCGCTCTGGTCCCAAGATTTAAAAAAAACGCAAAGAGCCTCAGTTCCATCATTTTTTGTTTGTGTGTTGAAGGGCCAGAGATTTCCAGGGGCAGGCACCTGAAGGTATGACAACCCCTGGCTCTTTCAGGCGCTGAGCATGGAAGGCTGATTTTTGAACCAAAACTTCTGGGTTAGAATCGCTAAGCAAAATGTCAAGTCTGGTTCTGTGTTGTGTAGTCATCAACTGGAGATAGGGATGTTTGGTCTGGCAGAGCCTGTGCAGGTTGGGGTTGGCGACCAACATCCAGGAATCATTTCTGCGTGTGCTCAGGCAACCATATGCTATACCGGGATTCAAACCTGGGCCAGCTGGTGTAAAGCAAGTGCCGTACTGCTATGCTGTCTCTCTGTCCCCTGGAATATTATTTTATTTTATTTCCATTTTTTATAATTTTATTTATTGGATCACCATGAGAGCAGTTACAAAGCTTTTGGATTTAAGTCTCGGTCATTCAATGAAACACCCGTACCTTCACCAGTGCCCATTTTCCACCCACCAAAACTCCAATATACCCTCATCTCACACCCTCCCTCTACATGTGGGGCAGATGATTCCCACATTACTCTCTCTCCTTTGATTGCATTCAATATTTTCATACCAGACCCACCATTATTATTTGGGATTTTACCCCAACACTCTGATCTGCTGAAAAGGCAACAGTAGAAAATTTGTTTTCTATTGCTGGTTATAAATAATATATGATGTCCTGTGGCTGCAGTAGTGGCCGCGTGATTTTGAAATTCTGAAATTTTAACAATTAAATCTGAAGGATTTCTGCCATAATATACTGAGTTTCAAGATTTATTCCTGAGTCTCTGGGATCATGGTCGTTAAGTAGCTTGATCAGGAGCCAGAGAGGCTGTTCGTGGACGGTGACCCGGGGTCTGGTTGGGATGGGGAGGAAAGGGTAAGCTCCACCTCCATCCCGTGGGGCCCCACGTTTCTCATCACTGCGGGCCCAAAACTGACTGTCCAGTGGCCTGTGGAGGGTGGTAGCCACCGAGCCGCCAGGGGAACAGGCCAAGGCACGAAACCTATTCCCACCTGGGGTCACTCAGAGCCTGCAAACCACTGCAGGCATTAGACCATTTCTGCCAAAAGCCGTTGGACTTTGAGATTTGTTTCTGAGTCTCTGGGATCATGGCAATTAAGCAGTTTGATCAGGAACCAGAGAGGACATGCCTCCAATTATATAGCTGAGCCGGAGGTGTTTTGTGGGTGTGTCTCCCACATACTACTTTTGGCATTTTACTTTCGTGGTAAACTTGATAAACAAGATTTTGGGGTCTTGCCAAAGGCACAGCAGCAATTTTGGGGTATCTGGAAGTCTGAAGGCGCCATCAGACTCCTTATGCACTCGTCTCAGGTACAGATTGACCTGCTGGTGGCACCATACCCCCTGAAATATCACTTAATCACTTAATCACTTAACTTCCCGTTAGTCGTCGATTTGCTCGAGCGGGCGCCAGTAACGTCTCCATTTGTCCCTGTCGCGTGCTAGTGTAGCCCAATGGCATCTGTTCACTCCGGGAACTTGAAGGGCCTCAAACCGATCGTTCATGATCTTGATGAAGAAGTCTGACCATCTGGTAGGTGGGCGGCCACGTGGTCTTTTGACATCCCGTGGAATCCAGTCGGTAACAGCTCTAGTCCAGCGGTCGTCTTTAAATCTCATTACGTGACCAGCCCATCTGATTTTCGACACCTTGGCAAATGAGACAGCGTCCCTGATTCTTGATCGTCGACGGATGTCAGAACTCCGGATTCTTTCTCTCATTTGAGTGAAATGTGATATTCCAAGCATAGCTCTTTCTATTCTTCTTTGGGAATATCATTTTAATCAAATTATCCGGAGTTACTTGCAAGTGACCCTCATCTGAAATACTGATCACCAACTTGGATGGCAGTATTTCAGATAACCTGAGCACACAACTCTCTGTCACGGAGAATGGTCTCTCATTCCTGGAGACAGGAAAGCAGGGGCAGGGCATCATCTTAGGGCTGGGCCACATATGTGACAGGTGGGAGCCTGGATAACACTAAGCGCTGTTGGACTTGCCTCAAACCGCAAAGCTCTGACACAGGAATGTCTCTGAATCTGGGATGCACGTTTCATTGAGCACATCTGGAGGGTCTTAGGACTCAGCTGAGTTTGGTGCACAGCATGTTGACCCTGCCGCCCTTCCCTCTCCCCGGTCACTCCCAGTACTGGGCATGGAGCTGTGGGTGTGCCTGTGATGGGGTGCAAGTGTGGTCACAGCAGCAGGCCACGTTGTGTGGAGAATATCCACAGGCAGCGCAGTGTGGAGAGGAACCTCTCCTGGGAACATGCGGGCACGGAGCTCGGGGCCAGAGGAAGGGACGTCGTAAGAGCAATGGGTAAAGAATGAAGGGGGCCGGGCTAGTATCTCCAAGAGGGCAGTCCAGGGCCTCCATGGAGATGGCACACCCGTGATGGTGGGGGAAGATCGGGGCCATGGGGAACAGTCAGGGTTGACGGAGCTGTGTGCTGTGTGCAGAGGGAAGCGTGTCAACTAGGCTGGTGTGTGGTGCAGAGAAGGGAATGTCCAGAACTTCTGGGCAGCCATAGGTTTCTGGGTTTGAATGAGTGGCTGTGAGAACTGGAAGAGCCCCAGGAGGCATGTGTGGAGAGGGATGTCCAGGGCACGGTGTGGGACGTGTGGCCCCGCAGTCCAGCTGCGAGTGTGGAGACGCTGTGTCCTGGGTCCACCATGAGTGGCAGGAACGGTCACCTTGGGGACAGGTCTGGGAGCCAGTTGGAGGACGTGTTTGAGGAGGTGTACGGGACACGCTGGTGCCAGGGAATTGGGTAGGCAGGAGGAATAGGATGTGACGGGCAGGGAGGGCAGTTAGGGCCTGGTGTGGGGGTAGGAACGGCCCTGGCCCTTGGGCGCCTTTACCCAGAGGCGTTTCTCACTCTCCCTCCAGTGTTGATTCATTTCTCTCACTGCCCAGCAGTGAAGCTGATGAATGCCATTTCACTGGAACAGGCCGCTTAGTGGGGGCTTTCACAGACTGCTATGTCCCAGGAAGGGAGTTTCGCTTGCACATTGACTAGGTCAGATCAGAGGCTGCAAATGCAAGGCCCCTTTATTGCTGGCTCGAACTAGAATCCGAGTCTCATCCAATGCAGTGGAGTCTTGACAAGGACCCTGACTCTGAATTCCAGGCAGCTTATAAAGGTTTTGGTTATAAAACAGCCTTTTTTCTAGGAACTGGCAATATGTTTCCAATTTTGGTCCCTGTCCTATCCCGTGACTTCAGAGCCCAGCATTATGTTTCCAATTCTTGGTCCCTGTCTGGTTCCATGACTCTACTCCCTAGGCCCTCTCTAATTGGTTGGGCACCACGGCCCGTGCCCCCTACTCTGATAAGCTGCTGCCATGAGGCGGTGTACCTGCCCAGGGTGATACGGTTTTCTGAGAAGTCAGGAATTTCTGATGGGGGAGACCGAGACTTAGGCCTGTTGAGTTTCAGTCTTTTTTTTAAAAATTTTTATTAGTGGAACACCATGAGGTACAGTTTTAGACTTACAAATTTTTGTGCTTGGATTTCAATTATACAATGATTGAGTACCCATCGGTCCACCAGTGCCCATTTTCCACCCTATGGATCCTAGAATCCCTCCCACCCCCCATCTCCACCATCCCCCCTGCCTCTTTGGCAAGGTATTCTCTTTTGTTCTCTCTCTCCTTTTGGGTGCTGTGGTTTGCTAAAGAGGCATTGAGTGGCAATCGTGTTTGGTCTATAGTCTACTTTCAGCATGCTTCTTCTATCCTGGGAGGATCCTCCCAACACCCTTTATTTGGTGCTCCTTTCTCTATCTGAGCTCCCTT